TGTAGTGCCCATGACCTACGTTAATATCATATGTGACAAGCCACTGTTCATTCAGATAAAATAAATGTGTCATAAATTATAATATGCACTTTTGTCTGTTTGACGCTTTGACTTTGATCATATTACTTAAAAGAAATAGTTTGACTCATGCTGTTACAAATATGCATTTGTAACATAAGACATGATAAGCACGTATGGTCATTGCACTATTCCGACCTAAATTCTGGAAAGTGCATTAACTCTTTAAAAACAATATATGACGTATTATTGTAATGCGTTAGAAGAGTATTTGTTTATAAAATTAATGTAATAAAACAATTAATGTAATTTATGGGAGTAACCAATGCATTGATTGGTTACTCAAATTAATCGAAAAGTAAATAATAATTGTTTAGTAAATAAGCTAGAATAAGTATAAATACCCATAATTTTTGATAATAAAATAGATTCAATTTAACTTAAGACAAGGCTACGTCTTTTATTTGAATCGTGTTCTATGCGGCATTTAGATGCTGAAAGAACATTAAGCGGCTGAAGAGCTTAGTAATACTCAACAATAATCTGATAGGTCGTTTCCACTCTTATTGGTCGATAGGAGATCCTTTAATCATTTCAGGATTTAAATATTATTAATCAAGAAGACCTAATCCAGCAAACCTGCAAATATATATTGATGATTCTGACATCCTGCAATAACCATTATATGGCAATGGTAGAATAGCATTACATAGCAATAATACAACATTTTTACATATGGTGATCCTGTTAAATCAACACATATCATTACATTGCGATCAATAATCATTACATGGCGAACCTACCAGGTTAACATCATAACATGGCGATCCTGCCCCTGACGGACCGAAACTTCTAAAAGCAGTTCAAAACTTCTAAAAGCAGTTCAAAACTTCTAAAAGCAGTTCAAATCCTCTAAAGCAGTTCAAATCCTCTAAAGCAGTTCAAATCCTCTAAAGCAATTAAATAACAAGAAGCCTGCCCACTACGGATCTAATCAACTAATCATCTTCTAATTCTACGAATGGAAAGTTATAATTGTTTTGTTTGTGGTAAAAGTTTCCACACAAAAAAAAAACTAAATAAACATTTGAGTACACACCAGTACATTATTGATTTTGCAAATGATTTAATTTTAAAAATTTTTTTTAAAAAAAAATAAATAAAACTGGAAATGTCACAACAAGAAATTGATGACACATTTGCAAAAATTGTGAAAACTTTACAACAAGCAATTTTAAACAATCCAGAAACGGGTCCAAAACCCATAACATTAGAAGAATATCGTAGAAGAAATCCTGGTGGAAGAACCAAGGAAATAACAGTAGAAGAGCATAATAGACCACAAAAGAAAAGAGGTGGCCAAAAGAGAAGGTTTATAAGAGAAAAAGGAGAGCTAAAAAAATTAATAAAATTAGCAGAAGGCAAAAATAGAGCTATTTTGCAACAACAACTGCAAGAGTTAACTCAAAATGGGTGGCACACAGACCAAAGAGGAGGTCATAAACAATAATAATGCAGCAGCAACAACAATCAACACTGATAGCACTAGCACTATAATATATTTAACATTTATTATACTAATTATATTATTACTGAATAAAATACATTCTCATTTTAAAAATTATATAAAAAAGCAAGCACTAAGAAATATTAATGTATAGTGTTATATAGATATTGTAAAAAAAAAAAGAAAAATTTTTTTTAATAAATAAAAACTTATATAAAAATAATGTATTCTAGAAGCGATATTTTAATAATAAAAAACATAGAAATAACTGCTATAATATTAATAGCAATAATCATAATAACAATAATATTATTATATGTATTAATAAAAATATTTAAATTTAGATAAATTTTTAAATGGATTTGACAGATTTAAAACATATATTATCTAATCTAAAGAAAAATCCGAAAAGAACTTATACTGATAAATATATTAGCATAACTAAGAATTATATAAAACAAATTTGGTTAGAAATAGAAAGAAATACTGACATAAAATATTTACAATTAGTAAGAACGAAGTTTGACACAATAGTAGATGAAATAAATAAATATTTAAAAAAACAAATCAGAACAGATTAGCGACAGTGCAATATCAAAACTTGATAAAATGGCTAATTTTGACATGTTAACAGCTTCAAAAATAATTCCTGAATTTAATGGAAATGTAAAGAGTCTATCTAACTTTACCGGTACTTTGCAATTCTACTCAGATTCGTTGAAGGATGAAGTAGAGAGAACTATTCTACTAAATTTTGTAAGATCAACTAAACTTTCTGATCGAGTTAAAAATAAATTGGTTGCAGGTGAAGAAGATGACACAATAAAAAATTTTATTAAGAAGCTAAACACAATTTACAAACCAAAAGCCAATCCCTTAATTATACAAAACAATCTTACTAGAATGCGTCAAGGCATACAAATGATTGCTCAATATGCTTTAAAAATAGAAGAACAAATAGCAATGCTTAATCAAATATACATTTCAGAGCAAGGAGATGAGAATAGAGATGTCATACTAAAGATGACAGATCAATTAGGCCTCAGTACATTCACATATGGGCTGAATGAGAAGATAAGAAATGTGGTTATAGCAGCCAGGATATCGACATTATCTGAAGCCATACAGATTGCAACAGATGTTGAGACACAAAACAAGAGTCTGATGCAAAATGCATACAGAAACTTTAACTACAAATCAAACAACCAGGGATATAGATCAAGAAATGACAGAAGTCATGGAAACAATAACTCAATGAGGTTTCCAAACAAGTACAGCAATCAACGAAGCAACTATAATAGTCAAACAAGAAATTTCAATAATTTTCAACAAAAAAACGGGAACACCCCCGGTCACAATACCCCGGGGAACATAAACTCAAATATCAACAAGAATGTTCGAAAGTATTAAATTTTACTTCGGCAAAAAAACATTTCTAACTGTATAACAATAAAAACTTCAATTAGCAATAAGTTTATAACTTTACTAATAGATACGGGCGCCGAAACATCAATATTAAAGAGAGATTTATTAGAAAATAAAAATTTAAAAATAGATACTACAAAAAATTACAAATTAAATGGCATTTGTAATAGTAGAATATCTACAGAAGGATTATTAAAAACAAAATTATTTTTAGATGAGAAAAGTATATCTCATGAATTCAATATCGTTAAACCCAATATCAATCTGCCAACTGACGGCATATTAGGTAGAGATTTCTTATTAAAGCATAACTGCAAGATAGATTATGAAACATGTACATTAACGATGCCTTATCAGGAAGATGAAATAATCTTACCTATAAATATAAATACAAAAAATCTGGCATATATAACACTGCCCCCTAGAGCAGAAGTAGTTCAACCTATAAAATTAGATATAAATGAAGATAGTATAATTTGTGGTAAAGAGATAATGAAAGGAGTATTTATAGCTAATTCCGTAATACCAGGAATAGGTATAAAACACATTCGAATATTAAATACAAGAGAAACACCAGTAGTCATAAAAAATGCAAAAATAGAAATAAAAAAATTAGAAGATTATAACATATTAAATTATAACAGAGCGTCCCTATACGCTAATAGATTTGATAGAATAAAGAATTTATTGAAACTCCCATGTTTAGATCAAAAAGCAGAAAATTCGATATTAAACATTTGTGAAGACTTCCAGGAAATATTTCATTTAGAAGGAGAAACTCTAACAATTAATAATTTTTATGAGCAGCATATATCAACTACAGATAAAACACCAGTTTACATAAAAAATTACAGAACTCCGAATACGCAATTACACGAAGTGAATAAACAAGTAGATAAATTACTAAAAGAAGACATAGTAGAACCATCAACAAGTCCTTATAATTCACCAATCTTATTAGTTCCAAAAAAGAATAAAGATGGAGAAGAGAAATGGAGACTAGTAATTGATTTCAGACAACTTAATAAAAAAGTAGTAGATGATAAATTTCCACTAACTCGTTTAGAAGACGTTCTAGATAAATTAGGTAAAGCGAAATATTTTTCTACACTTGATATGACTAGTAGTTTTCATCAGATTCCACTTAACAATAAATCGAAACATTTAACTGCGTTTTCAACCAATACAGGTCATTTTCATTTTAAAAGATTACCTTTTGGCTTAAAAATTTCAACTAATAGTTTTCAAAGAATGCTAACTTTAGCATTAACTGGTTTGGATTCGTCCGCATTTTTATATGTAGATGACATAATAATATTCGGTTCAAATTTAAAAAATCACAATGAAAATCTAATAAAAGTATTTAGTAGACTACAAGAACATAATCTTAAATTAAACCCTGAAAAATGTAATTTTTTACAACCAGAAGTTGTATATCTTGGACATTTAATAACAGCGCAAGGTGTATGCACTGATCCAAGCAAACATGAAGTGATCCGAAATTACCCGAAACCTAGAAATTCTGATGAAGTTCGAAGATTTGTTGCCATGTGCAATTATTATAGAAGGTTTATACAAGATTTTGCTGAAATAGCTAGACCTCTTAATAACTTACTAAAGAAGAATCAAATATTCTGCTGGTCGGAAGACTGTGATAAATCTTTTGAAAGTTTGAGAACAAAGTTAATTTTTCTTCAGCTACCCAGATTTCTCGAAAAATTTTATATTAACGACAGATGCCTCTAATTATGCATTAGGAGCAGTTTTGTCACAAGGAGAAGTAGGAAATGATAAACCAATAGCTTATGCTAGTAAAACTCTAAACAAGCATGAAATAAATAAGCCTGTAATAGAGAAAGAACTTCTTGCAATTCATTGGGGAATTAATTATTTCAGACCATACTTATATGGACGAAATTTTACGGTATATACTGATCACAGAC